GCACCCCCCCCCCCCCAGACCTGATGAATCGGGCTCTAGTCCGCCAAGGCTCCTGTGAGCATGAAACGTGGTGTGTCTTTGAGCTGCTCCTTAGTTTTGTTGCAGGGGATGAATGTCGGTCCCTCTCCGGAAGGATCCCCACGGAAAGGTTGCAAGGAGCCAGTTAGTCTCCTGGGGGACAATGCCGAAAAGAGGCCCTGGAGCAAAGGAGGAGGATTTTGCATAGGATCATAGAGGTGGGCCTCCAGGGTCATCTAGTCCAACCCCCCTGCACAATGCAGGGAATTCACAAATGCCTCCCCCTCCACACCCCCAGTGACCCCTGCACAGAAGGTGACAAAAAACCTCCAGGATCTCCAGCCAAACTTGCCTGGAGAAAAATTGCTCCCTGACCCCGAAGTGGCGATCAGCATTTCCCTGGGCGTGTAAGAAAGGGCCACGAGAACTAAGCCCTGAGGCAACCCATCCTGCCCTCCTTCTCGTGGTCTGCCCAAGTTCACAGAATCTGCATTGCTGTCACAGATGGCCATCTAGCCTCTGCTTGAAAACCTCCCAAGGAGGAAAGCCCACCACCAACTCCCGAGGAAGCCTGTTCCACTGAGGGACCGCTCTGTCAGGAAGTTCTTCCTAAAGTTTAGCCGAAAACTGTTCTGATTTAATTTCAATCCGTTGGTTCGGGTCCGACCTTCTGGGGCAACAGAAAGCAACTCCGCACCATCCTCTATAGGACAGCCCTTCAAGTACTTGAAGATGGTGATCGTATCGCCTCTCAGTCGTCTCCTCTCCAGGATAAACAGACCCAACTCCTTCAACTTTTCCATGTGCCTTGGGTAGGCGGGCACCTCATAACCTAGGAAGGAGTTGCTGCTCTTGATGCATTTATTTCTGTCACGCTTTCCTCCCCACAGTAAGGATGCAAAGCGGCTTAGAGCAGGGGTGTCGAACTCACTCGTTATGAAAGCCGGATGTGACATAAACGAGGCCTCCTCGTTGGGCCGGGCCTCGTGTGTCATAAAATGTAATGCCAGGTAGAGTGGAGATGCAAACTTTATAAAGGACACAAACACAAAGGGTTTTTTTAAAACTTTAAATAAAAACATGCTTAAAACATCAGCACTCTGCAATATTTTGTTTATTCAACAGTGTCTGATGACTGACACCTCTGGCTCTGAATTATTGCCTCAAAATGTCTGTGCTGTTGCAATCCTGAGTATGCTGTTCAGGTGTGTATCTGTAAGCTGCAAACCTACGATGACGCAGCAGCAGCAGCAGAACTGGAAGAAGAAGCAGAAGACAGCCAGTTCCACTGTGGGCCTGAGAGAAGCCCACCGGGGGCCTCATCCGGCCCCCGGGCCGCATGTTTGACACCTGTGGCGTGGAGCATTGTGCTTCCTGCCTCCACTTTTTTCACAACAGCCTTGTGGGATAGGCCAGGCTAAGAGTTTGTGATGAGCCCAAGGCGGCCCATCGAACTTCCATGGCGGAAGCAGGGATTCAGACCCCCGTCGCCCAGGGCCTGGTCCACAGCACCACATTGTATCCGGGGAGACCCCGACGCCACCTATGCAGGAGGTTCTCTTTGTCCTGCCTCACAGGTGGAGAATTCCAGAGCATGCGTGGCTTTCCCAAGACCGTGCAGGGGAAGAGCAGGGCTTTGGTTAGAGCACGCTTTCCTTTCTGCCACTCAAACTTCAAAGTTTGCATGATCGGAGTACAGCCAAATGTGCTCCAAGAAGAGAATGGTGGAACAGGCATCCTCGGGAGGTGGTGGGCTCTTCTTCTTTGGAGGTTTTCAAAGAGAGGCTGGATGGCCATCTGACAGCAGTGCGGATTCTGTGAACTGAGGCAGATCATGAGAGGGAGGGCAGGACGGGTTGCCTCCGTGCTTAGTTCTTGTGGCCCTTTTTGGTGGTTAAGTTCGTGGACTCTAACCTGGGAGAGCCGGGTTTGATTCCCCACTCCTCCACTTGCAGCTGCTGGGGTGAACTTGGGCAAGCCATAGTTCTGTCAGAGCTGTTCTGGAAAAAGAGCCGTTTCTGTCAGAGCTCTCTCAGCCCCACCTACCTCCCAGGCAGTGTTCCCTCTAAGCTGAGTTAGTGTGAGCTAGCTCACAGTTTTTTAGCCTCCGGTTCACAGATTTTTGTCTCAGCTCAGGAAGGATGTGGCTCCAGAGCAAACTGATTTATGCAGTATCCAGATCGCTCGCTCACAACTTTAATGCCAGCAGCTCACAAAGTAGAATTTTTGCTCACAAGACTCCACAGCTTAGAGGGAGCATTGCTGGCACCCCTTCCCCCCATCCCCTGCCGCTGGCCATGGGGACCTGGCAGCCCTGGTACAAAGGAACATTGCACAGTCCTTTACTTTCAGTGTGTCTACCCCCTCTCTCCTGAACCAGTCCTCTCTTGAAAACCCTTCTCTCACCATTCTTCTGAAATGGGTTTTCCCCAAGATAGCCCAAAGGTCAGAAGTGAACCTGCTTGAAGTATCTGTGGTGGTGATGATGGGGAGGTTGTTCAGGGTTGATTTGCAGGGAAGAATTTGTAGGACTGGGAGGTATTAATCACCAGTCTCCCCCCGCCCCCAAACGTCCTCTTTAATTGCCTTTCCCTCTGTATTCCTGTTATTTTGGCAAATACAGGAGCAGGATCATGGATTGGATTCAGACAGCTGAATTCTGTTCCTTACTACATTCCCCCATCCACTGTGACTTTTATTCCCATGATCCCCAGCATAGCTTCTTTGGGTGTCAAAGGGAACCCTTTTTCAGCAGTGGAAAAGCCAGCTGGATCTAACCCTGTGTTTAATACCTTGAACGACTTGGGAAAAGGATTGAGTAAAATGATGATAGTAAGCAAGCACTATGCATTCCGATCCCATGCACATTTACTCAGAAGTTCTACTGCACTCAGTTATTTTGGCTGTGGTCACACACACTAAATAATCCACTTTCAATCCACTTTCAGTATACTTTCCAACTGTATTTTACTGTGTGAACTGGCAAAATCCAGTTGGAAAATGGATAGAAAGTCGATTGAAAGTGGATTATTTAGTGCGTGTGACCACAGCCAGAATCTTGTGTGTTCTTACAGAATGACTATTTTATAGATAAGAGTGGCTAATGTCATGGAAACTCATCCTAACTATATATTTCAATCCTTAGAAGCCTTGAAGGGAAGGAGTTTTGCTTCAGTGGCTTTCAGATTTGCAAGAACAAGATGCATTTCTTCCTTTAGGAGCTGCTATTGTCACAAGGAAAGAAAAAAGTTTCAGTTTTGTCTTTGCACGTGGGTGGGTATTCTGTTTGTAATAATTGTTTGGATACGCTATATTTTTAATATGCTAGTTGTGATAATTTCATGCCAAGTAAAAATGTCCATAGTCATATTTTATGTTCCGAAATAACAGAATGACTTTCAATCTGGAAAAGAAAAAAGAAGTGCTAATGTAGCATTTTTTTCAATTTTCCCGAAAATTTCCGTTTTTTCCTGAGCTTCAAAATTTCCGGAAATTTTACATCTCTAGTTTCTCTCAGAGCTCTCTCAGCCCCACCGACCTCACAGGGTGTCTGTTGTGGGGAGGGGAAGGGAAAGGAGTTTGTAAGCCGCTCCTCTTCTTCTTCTGCCTCAAAGGGTGCCTCTGCCTGGCCAGCGTCCCACTTGTGTGGTGGGCCCCATTGTCTGGGGCATGGGAAAGGTCAGCTCCCCCCTTGCTATCCTTCCTGGCAGCTTTGGGAGGGGTGGGGGTCAGAGCAGCCGTGGCTGGAGGGGCCTTGCCCCCCCTGCCTCTCCCCTTGAAAGGACCAGGCAGTAGATAGTGTAAAATACCTTTCTCTGCCTGAGACTTTGGAGAGCTGCTGCCGGTCTAAGAAGGCGATACAAAACTTGACGGACCAAGGGTCGCCTCATCTGTTCATGGGGACAGGTACCCACAGTGGGTGCCCCAGCAAAGAAGGCCCTGCTGTGCAGCTTTTGTTGCACTGTTTCTCTTTGTTCTGTATGTGACAATTGATCTTTTCTGTTTGGTGTAGTTGTTAAGTGCGTGGACTCTAAACTGGGAGAACCAGGTTTGATCCCCCACGCCTCCGCTTGCAGCTGCTGGTCTGACCTTGGGTCAGTCACAAGTTCTCTCAGAGCTGTTCTGTCAAGGGCAGTCCTCGAAAGAGCTCTCTCAGCCCCACCTACCTCACAGGGTGTCTGTCTGTTGTGGGGAGGGAAAGGGAAAGGAGTTTGTAAGCCACTGTGAGACTCCTTTGGGTAGTGAATGGCGGGGTATAAGTCCAATCTCTTCTTCTCTTTTCTTCCTGCCCCCAGGGTTTGGAATGGGATGTGGCCTCGCTGCCGCTGGCTCCCCTGCACCCCTGCTTTCCCCCCAAGCACAGCCGCGAGGAGGAACCCCACCGGCAGGCCACTGAGATCTCCCTGTGGACCGTGGTGGCGGCCATGCAGGCCGTGGAGCGGAAGGTGGACACCCACGCCGGGCGGCTGCTGACCCTGGAGCGGCGGACGGGCTTGGCGGAGAAGAAGCTCTCGGAGACGGAGAAGGCCGTCGTGGACTTTGGCGGCCACCTGGAGGCCCTGGGGACCCTGCTGCAAGAGTGCGGGCAGCTCCGGCGGAGGCTGGAGAACATGGAGAACCTGCTCAAGAACCGGAACTTCTGGGTCCTCCGGCTGCCCCCGGGCTCCGAAGGCGAAACCCCCAAGGTCAGTGCCTGTGAGGACCGGGGCTGGGCGAGCCGGGCGTTGAGTGACGCAGGGCTTTCTGCCTTGGCTTGGCCCGTGGCCCCGTGAGGCCGGTGGGCTTCTTGGGGGAGGAGACCTGCTTGAAGCTCACCTGCCCAGCAATTTAGGGTGAGATGACCACCTGGCAGTGGCCCCGAGGGCCTTCTCCGCTCAGGCCAGTGAGGGAGAGAGCGGCAGAGGCTGCCCTCATCCCAGCCTCTGCTCAGCAGTCAGGCGACCTTGGTTGCCAATTCTGGGGTGGGCAATTCCTGGAGATTTGGGGGTGGAGCTTGCAGAGGGGACCCGGCAGGGGTGTGATGCCATAGAGTTCGCTCCCTGAAGTGGCCCTTTTCTTAGTAGGTGCGTTCAGATGGGGCATTTGCAACGGTTTAGGTGCCAGTTGGAATGGGTGTACTTATCGGCGTTCACACGTAGAACATCTGCCTTCCGTCCCTAACCGTTGCAAAGAGTTTTAAACCATTGTATTCTGCCACTAGGTCCCCAAGTGGTGGTATCCTGAGTGCAACGGTTGTAATCGCTTTACCCCCCGTCTGAACGCTCTCCACCGTTGTAGAGCCACTTCTGTTTGGAAGCCCCGAGGCTTCCGATT